AATATGTGATTCTACTGTCTTTCAGCATCAGCTTGAAAAGGAATTATAAACAATGTGATTCTATTGTCTTTCAGTGTTGGATTGCCTTGCACATTTTAGTAGGGGAGTTACGCCTAAAGTGTAATGGAAAATCAAAGGAACAGAAAAAATGCCAAGGATGAGAAATGTTGCTAATGATTCCATTACTCTTTAAATAGTCAGCATATGTCGAAATAATTCACTTCATGGAAAATTAATTAAAATATTTTGGCTCTCAAGTGAAACTTGGAGTTGTTCATAAAAAGAACTATCAGACACATCACATATCAACAGCTTTGCTCAGAATCCAAACACCCCTTCTTGAGAAGATACATGGACACACGGACAATTGAACGAAGCCAGAATATGAATAAATGGAGCAACAAACAAAGATGATCTTTACCAGTATGATCAGATCCCATTGTTTGTTGATTCGAAGTTGAACTGCTACATTAATTATATCATCCCAAGTGTCATTGGTTGGACGTAGAGTATCCAAGGAAGACCAAATCCTCTCTGGATCTCTTTCCTTCTTTACAAAAGTCAGAATTTGCTGAGCAATTGGGCTTAGAACTGGGAATATACCATCAACAAAACCAGATCCATATTTCCATCCTCTACCCCTTAAAGAACCACCTGCACAATAGTCATGAATTTGGCATCAGGATGGAGAAACACATATATGAAACTAATGCCATTATACATCAACCTACATCTTTTCCTTGAAACTTTTTTGTGATCAAAGTGTCTAAATCTGCCGCGTCTATCAATGAAAATGCTATCTTGCTTCCACTTCTCAATGGGAACATTATTGGAGTCCTTTGCTTTCCATCTGAATCCACCTTTACTGATTCTTGGTTCAAAAAGGATATGATTTAATGGACATCTGGAGACCAACCTACAGTATCTCAGAAGACGAAAAATTACTTAGTAGTCCTATGCTCCTGATGCATCACTATGAACACACAATCCAATTAACATTTGCTAAAACATGCAGTCAGAAACTTGAAGCAAAACTAATCATACATTTTTTCAGGTATTTGTTTCACATGCAAAAAAGAATGCTAACAGAATAGGCATGAACGATTAATCCGGTCAAATTGGTCATTAGGAGGTCTTACTGAAGATGAAGAAGGAACAAAAATAGCAGCAAGTACCCGTACTGATGGAAGTAGCAAATACCTGGATGAATAATCGAGGTACGGGTAAGCTAGCCTGGACTCCACCGTCACAATAAATAAAAATAAAATTGCTGCAAGATGGATATTCTTGTAGTCGGGCAGAGCGACAGAGAAGAGTTTCTGCCTTTTTCAATACTAAAATTGCGGTCGTTTGGTTTGAAGACAAGTTATGCTGGGATTAGTTATGCTGCGATTAGTTATGCTAGGATTAGTTATATTGATATTATTTCTTATTGATTGTTTGGTATGTTGTATTAATCCTGGGATTGTCAATTTTACTGCTTCATCCTGGGATAACTTATCTTAGGATTACTATTCCACCTTCTGGTAGGTATAAGTTATCCCGGTTCTATTTTAATCCTGGGATAACTTATCCCAAGATTAATAACCAAACAAAGGATAAGGAGGTACTATATTTTTATCCTAAGAACCCCTAAGAGTTCATTTCACAAACACATATAGCACATGAAGTAAAAATAGAACAGGCAAACGATTACAACCATTATTTCTCCAACTTGACTACTCAAGCTAATTTTTTTTTTTTCAAATGTAAATTTATTTATCTTAAGCAAGATAAGAGAGCTGAAACACTTAAGATGTAATCCCAATCTATGTTACCTTATCTTTTTTATTTATGTTGGATTTTCTTGTTGAATTCACATTTTACAAAAATCATGATATTATTAGCAAATGTATAAATTTTGCAGTTTCTTAAAAGAAAAAACACATGCACAGTTCCCGAGTATCTAACATTTTTCTGCCATAGAGCTCAAGAAACTATGAATGAATGAATGAAAGATAAAGTACAATTCATAATTCAAGAAAAGATAATTTGAGGTTCATAAGTATAGACCAAATGCAGAAACATGAGAAAATTGCAGGAAGACGAGAAGTTATTAGAGGGTTACATGAATGCATATGAAGATAAAGCCAGGACTTCAACTTTGTGTCCTTCACTTCTGTAAAACCAACATGTTATACGCACTCTGTTCTGTTTTTGGTATACCAGAAGATAATTGGGTACCTCCTAAAATATCTGCTACGCATGCAGACAAACACACAATGGCCAACCATCATCTTATATCCCCTCCCCCCGGGAGGGAGGGCTTTACCCAACGCCACCCTAAAGAATACATAATAGTAGGAAGAGCGTCAAACAGGCGGGTCGGGTCGGAACTCCTAATCTCCCTAACTTGAGAAAACGCAATTTGAAAGTTAGACCCATAGGTTATACATAGTGGATAATATGGATGTTTAACTATTTTTTTTTAATCATTTTGCCACCCCTGTACAGTACTACAGTACTATATATAAGATGAATTAATGGCCGATGCAGTTCAGTACTCCTATCTCACCAAGCCTAGTCTTTTATCTCACCTTAAAGCAAAAAATTAAAGAAAGAGGTACGAAACCTGTACTAATCAGTTTGTGACTTTTGCTTAAACCTGAAATAACACTGGGTAGCCATTTTAAAGGGCTACTATTTAGAAATTAGCTGGTAATTCGTGAGTTTCAATTTTTCAAGATAAAAGTGTCTTGAATCATTCTGAAATTAAGATTTTCAGTTTAAAATTTCAGAACAAAATAAGTATTGAGTAATCTCTAAATAACATACCCGAGAACAATGTTTTAAAAAACGGGGGCGTGAGACGAGGTGTTTTACCCTCTGACGAAGCGAGGCGTAAGCCTTGAGACATGGGGCGTAAGTCCCACGGATCTTTAAATATTACTAATTTCAAGAATTTTAAGATAGTACAAAATAAAAAATAATTATAAAAATTACATTAAAATCACAAAATAATAACAAATAATCTATTTAAAATATTTATAAATTATAATTCAACTATGAATAATACGAAAAGTATGACATATATCATAATATGCAAATTAGCTGCAACGTCGTTACAGCTCAAACATCAAAA